GAAGTCTGGTCTTTGGAAGAACTGCAGGCTCTCCTAACTGAGGAGCCATCTCTAGCCTCCTGTTATGCCTTTTCTGTATGTACCATGTGTTAAAAGTGATCGTGTTTTCCTTCACCTCTCAGTGTGTCACAGGGATGACTTGTATGTTGCGGGTCCCTTCCCATGCTGTGCTTCTTGCTCATTGCATCACGTCACTGTGAACAAGACACCTGCCAGACACCACCTAAGGGAGCTTTACTTCAGCTGCCATTGTAAGGTTCCACCCATAGGGGCTCAGCCTGTGCATTTGCTGGGCTTCCTGAGTAGCAAGGGTGTGGTGTAGAACAGCAGACCCAGCAACAGACTAGGAAATGGAGATTGGAGATACCTGCCTGGCTCTAAGCTTCAGAGGCACACCCAGCTACCAGGGCACAGCAGGATCAGCACACGTGGTGCCTGTGTGTGTGCTCACACGTGGTGCCTGTGTGTGCGCGTGGGCAGCACGCTTGCTTGAGCGCTGGTGGGGCACCCACATCCTGCTTGTGAGAAGCTGTCACATCAAGAACAAGAGTTAGTCAGGTGCTGGTGGCGCATGCCTTTAATTCCAGCACTGGGCAGGCAGAGGCAGGCGGATCTGCAGAGCGCATTGAGGGCAGCCAGGACTGTTTCACAGATAATCCCTGTCTTGGAAGAAAAAAGAGAAAAGAAGAAGTTTTTAGAACATTAAAGTAGAAGGTCTCTAGAGACCAAGGCAAAGTCAGCAGACATGGTGACGGAAATCAAGGAAAACGTTTTAAGACTTGGGGAAAGTCCAATATGGGGGTGTCAGTTCCACACGTGGGAGATGAATGCAGAAAGGCCAAGAGTTTAAGGTCACCTTCAACTGTACGGTGAGTGAACTTGAGACCAGCTCCTCTGTGTGAGGGACACTTTACACTCAAGCCATAACTGTGTAGTATGTAAGTCTTCTGATGTGCTGCTCAGTTCACTGTGGTGGCATTTTGTTTACAGAGTTTTGTTTTTTTTGGGGGGGGGGTTTAGTGCTCATACAGCACAGAGATCTATACTGTTTTAAAATCTTATTTTTATTTATGTGTATGTATGTACATGTGTAGACACGTGTTCAAGGATGCTCAGAAGGGCCAGAAGAGGGCGGGGCACTGAATTTCCCGGAGGTGGAGTTACAGGCAGCCTTGAGCTGCTCGCTCTGTTCAGGTGCTGGGAACTGCACTGGGGCCTCTGCAAGAGCAAGACAGGCTCTTAACCCCTCTGAGCCGTTCCCTAGCCCCTGGGTCTGTACTATCAGAAGTGTCTTTGGCTTTAGTGTGAGGAGGATTCTGGCCTCAGAGACTGAGTATCCTCAAGGCAGTCCTGTTTCTGCCTCCGGAGAGCTGGGATCACCATCGTGCGACCCCACAGCGGCCTTTGAGGTTTCCTTGCTCTGATATTAACATGGCCACCTCTGTTCTGTGGAACGTAATCCCACGACTTCACGGTCAGTTTGTGTCCTTTGATGTGAAGTGGGTCTGTGACAGGGCCTTTCAGTCACAGAGGGCGCTGCTGAAATGGTTTGTGGAGCCAGGGCTCTGCCTCCAGTCTGACCACGCTCGTGGTAGGAGGAGAGAACCATGTACCACACAAAGAGCCCATATGCTAGTCAAGGCTCACTTTCCGTGACTTCCTACTTCCGTGACCTCTAGCGTGGGGAATTCCACACTGCAGGGCCTTGCTCAGAGTCGGTTTTTTTCCGAAACCTCTTTGAAGGGCCCGGCATGGTTTCTTGATATGTCAGTTCTTCACAAGTGGGCTCTCTGCTCAGCACCATGTGCGTCAGTGTGATAAGCCTGTCCCCACCTCAAAGGCCGATGATAGTCATTCCCCGGCTGTGACTAAGAGATTCAGAGGTAGCAGCAAAGTCCCTCGACGCTGTTTCATAGGCAGAGTATGGTACCCAGATGACTCCAGCCTGTGTCAAGTTAACATAAAATGGTCCAGCACATATTACTTTTCATGGCAACTAGGATTTGCAGATGGAATTCTGGGTATGAAGGGGGCGGGCATCCTGGGCCAACCAACAAGGACCAGCGACTAGAGGTGTCCTGGAAAAGGCAGGTGTAGGAGACAGAGCACGCTAAGCTGTTGGGTCTCGAGCCAAGGCCTGTTGGGAGCCACCAGCTAGTGACTTTCAGGAGAGTCAGTCCCACGATGTTTCTTCTGGCTGCCAGGACATGTGATGAGATCCAGAGTTCATGATGCCTTGTTGTGGAATGTTTTTCTCTTTTGGCATTTTGAGGGGCTCGCCACCCAACTCCCAAATAAATCACACAGAGGCTTATTCTTAGTTATGAATGCCCGGCCTTAGCCTGGCTTGTTTCTTGCCAGCTTGTCTTATCTTAAATTATCCTGACTACCTTTTGTCTCTGGGCTTTTATCTTTCTCTATTTCTGTATACCTTTCTTTACTTCTTTCTCCGTGGCTTGCTGTGTAGCTGGGTGGCTGGGCCCCGATGTCCTCATCTCCTTGTTCTCTCCCTGCTCTTCTTTCTTCTCCCAGTTTTCTCCTTCTATCCATTCTCTCTGCCTGCCAGCCCCGCCTATCCTTTCTCCTGCCTCACTATTGGTTGTTCAGATCTTTATTAGACCATCAGGTGTTTTAGACAGAAAGAATCACAGCTTCACAGAGTTAAACAAATGCAGCGTAAACAAAAGCAACACCCTAAAATAATATTCCCCAACAGTGCCTGTTAGCATAAAAGCCCAGTGAGCAGAGACCACAACTGTTAGGGGCAGGGAGATGGTTCAGCAGTGAAGAGTGTGTACTGCTCTTCCAGAGGGCCCACATCTCATTCCCAGTTGTTATAAGATGAGGCAGGCAAGCCAGACGGAAACTTTTGACCTCTAGAACTGATGAGGGACAGGAGGCGTGGTTAGAGTCACCTTTGTACTCTATGATATGGGGCCCTTTAAAAAAAAAAGTACAATTTTAGGGCTTGAAAAGATGGCTCAGTGGTCAAAAGCTGTATATTTTCTACCTTGTTAGTATGTAAAAATGCCTTCGTGTGTGAGTGTGTTCTCTGTGTGTAGCCCTGGTTGTCCTGAAGCTCTGTAGACCAGGCAGGCTTCAAACTCAGAGGTCTGCCTGTCTCTGCCTCCTGAGTTCTGCGATTAAAGGCACATGCCACCACCACCTGGCTGTGTGTATCTTCTTTTGTGCCTAAAACCTTTATCTGCTTCTAGAATTCCCAAGTGTAATTATCATGAGCCAATATTCGGTTTAAGGTTCAATCTTACATTGATTTGAGCTGTGAAGTATGAGTAAATGCTCCTGGCCACCTTCACTTCCAGGCACGCACTCTTTCTCCTTCCCTTGGGCCTCTGTGAAGAGGAGCTGCTGGCTGTTTCCCCAGTTCTTCAGGGCCTTGAAGTCTCGCACAAGATGCACAGACATATTTGGGTCTTACAAAGTAATTCACTCACTGCCAGGGCCCCAAGAGTCTTAGTTCTTATCGAAATGCAGTGTTCTCGGCTGTGCATGGTGGGCTGCGCCTTCCACGTTGTTCCTTCCAGGTATCTCGCTGCTTCTTGTGTCTGCCCAGCTGCTGGCTGTCTGGCTTTTTACCCGGACAGCATCTCCCTTGTTCTGTCCTCTCTTCTTCTGGAGCCTAGATTCCTCTTCCTATTTATCCTCTCTGCCTGCCAGCCCTCCTATCCCTTCTCCTGTCTAGCTATTGACTATTCAGCTTTTTATTGGCCTGATCAGGTGCCTTAGGCAGGTGAGGGGAAACAAATGCAGCCCATCTTTACATAGTTAAACACACATCTGTACAATGTTAAACAAATGACACATTTGTTTACACAGTTAAAATAATACCCCACAACAACACAAGAAGCATGGCTGTGTGCAGGCAGACATGATGTTGGGGAAGGAGCTGAGAGTTTATTTATTTATTATGCAGTGTTCCTTCTGCATGTATGCCTGTATGCCTGTATGCAAGAAGGGGCCCCCGGTCTCATTACAGATGGTTGTGAGCTGTCAGGGTCTGGTGCTAGCCCGGACAGTAAATTATTTTCTCTTGACCAGACCCCGACATAAACTATCTCTCTCTGGACCGGCTTGGAGACGCAGAAATAAAGACACAACTCACATGGTTTTATCAGGAGGGAGATTCCCAGTGGTCCCTCATGAAATCCTGAGTTCACGTCCTGAAGAATTTTCTCGTTTATCCTCCAAACAGTCTTTATACCAAAACTTAACCAAGGGGAAAATATATTAGCATTCTGTTTCCTAGGTAGCCAGGTGAATGGCTTTCCGTCATGTCCACAACTACCTGTCTGCTGTGTATACTAGCTGTCACATAGGTTTGAATTGGCATCTCTATCAGGCATCCTCCAAATTACAAAGAAAGGAGCAAAACCACATCCTGACCTTTTGTTAGGTTGCAAAGGCCTGACTGGTAGGCCATGTGTCCATCCTCAGATACTGACTATGGCTTCAGAGCCTGGCTGCCACACCATATAGAAATACAGTGAGCCACCGTGTGGTTGCTGGGTACTGAACTCAGGACCTTTGGAAGGGCAGTCAGTGCTCTTAACTTCTGAGCCGTCTCTTCAGCTCAAGCTGAGAGCTCTTGTAAGGGGTGTGAGTGTTACAGCTCTGGGGCTGCAAAGATGCCTGAACCTAGAGCCTCAGCAGGACAGCCCAGCTTATAGGAGGGCCTTCTGGTGTGGGAGGGGGAAGGCGGACAGCCCAGCTGGTGTGGGGGGGGGGCTTCTGTCTGTGTTGCTTTCCCTGGTTAATGAATAAAGAAACTGCCTTGGCCTAGTTGATAGGGCGGAACTTAGGTAGGTGGGGAAGACAGAACTGAATGCTGGGAGGAAGAAAGGCCGAGGAGGAGGGAGCCGCCAGAGACAGACGTGCCGAATCTTTCCCAGTAAGCCTCTGCCACATGGCCATGAACAGATTAATAGAAATGTGTTAAATCAAGATGTGAAAGTTAGCCAATAAGAGGCTAGAAATAATGGGCCAAGCAGTGATTTAATTAATAAGATTTCTGTGTGGTTATTTTGGGGCTAAGCTAGCCGGGTGGCCAGGACGAACAAGCAGGCCCTCTCTCCAGCAACATTCAGCCCTGGAGGGGAAGGTGTCCTGACTTTCAGCCAGGCTACCTGAAGCTGGGGTGCAGTGGGGATGGTATCCCCACAGGATATATCAATCCTGCTCCTCTCCAGCGCCCCTGCAGCTGAGCTCTGCTCTGTTCCCCTAAGGGAACGTCCGCTTCTGTGGCCCAAGATGTTACTTCTTGCAGAAATGTAGCCATCTTCTCCAGCTCCGGAGAAAAGTTGTGGCTTCTTCTGTCTAGTCTTGTTCACCTCTCTAAGAGAACGTCTCAGTAAGGTTCTTCTGTTCTGCACCGCAGAGGGCAAATGTAGATCTTCAAAAACTGTTTTGAGAAAGAGATTTGGGAAGAAGGAATCTAAGAGAATGGTTGCCTCTGCCTCCAACAAAGCCACACTTAATCCAACAAGGTCACACCTCCCAATAATGCCAGTGCATGATGCCATTTTAACTCAAAGTACCACAGAAATTAAGCTGTACTTGTGGCAAAGTATACATTAAGGGAGAGTCCTATAAATGGTGGGCCAAGTCTCAGCTTGTGGCATGGTGAGGACTAGTTCCCTTCAGCCTCCATCCCAGGTGCCTCTCTTCCTAACCTGTGCTTCTGACCTGTAGGAACAGCCAGCATGAAGTTAACTGTGAGGATATCCGAGAGCAAAATGTATATGCACATACATGCTTACGTAAACAGACGCACATATACATGCTTATGTAAACAGACGCACATACATGCTTACGTAAGCAGATGCACATGCTTATGTAAGCAGATGCACATATACATGCTTATGTAAACAGACGCACATACGTGCTTACGTAAGCAGTTGCACATACGTGCTTACGTAAACAGATGCACATATACACGCTTATGTAAACAGACGCACATACATACTTACGTAAACAGACGCACATATACATGCTTATGTAAACAGACGCACATACATGCTTACGTAAACAGACGCACATATACATACTTACGTAAACAGACGCACATATACATGCTTATGTAAACAGACGCACATGTACATGCTTACGTAAACAGACGCACATATACACGCTTATGTAAACAGACGCACATACATGCTTATGTAAACAGACGCACATACATGCTTATGTAAACAGACGCACATACATGCTTATGTAAACAGACGCACATATACATACTTACGTAAACAGACGCACATACATGCTTACGTAAGCATATGCACATGCTTATGTAAACAGACGCACATATACATGCTTATGTAAACAGACGCACATACATGCTTATGTAAACAGACGCACATACATGTTTATGTAAACAGACGCACATATACATAGTAAAGGCCGTAATTCTCATACAGTTGCACATTTGTGCATATATGCATGCATGTGCACATGTGTATGCGTGCGCACACAAAATGTTTCCATCCCATGCTTCTCTCAGATTCACTGATTCACAGGGGGCCTGGCTGCTTTCTGTGTAATCTCCTCTAAGAAAGGCAGGCATTTGAGGGAGAGCCTGATACATTTCATCCAGGAGAAGTAGGCTCATTTCCCATGGGTGCTGCTGGTCCTGGAGTCCCGAGGCAGCCGTGCCAGCAGCTGTCCTTGGTGCTGGCACCTCTGACAGTGTCATGGTTACAGTCTCACCTATCAGCCTCCAGCCAGGACCCTCCCAGCCTTTGCTACTGCATAGCGTGTCGGCACATTGGGCCATGACAGGAGTTACAGCTTGACTCTTGGCACTCCTTCCAACATAGGCACCCGCACCTCCTTTTCCTACCGTCAGTAAGCAGCAGCAGATGACAGCAAGTGTCAGGAAAACAAACACGGGGACACTCCAGGGCACTGTGGTGGTGTGCTGAAGAGGCTCTGAAAAGGGAAAAGAAAGATGCAGGGCCTCGCCCTGCTCAGCCTCTCCAGAGGGCTTTTGTTTTCCCTGGTAATAGGCTCTGTGCCCCCACTCCCTCCTTACCCCATCTCCGGATCAGGGGCTCCAGCAGCCCCTCATGCTGCACATGGCATGTATATTTCTGCTCCTCCCCAGAAGGCACCACCACAGCTGCCCACTTCTGGAAGGTTCCGTCTCCTGCAGGTCTGGTCTCCACAAACTCCATTTCCTGGATCAGTTCCTCCCCATCCAGCTGCCAGGTCAGGGAGATCTCAGCTGGGTAGAAGCCCAGGGCCCAGCACCTCAGGGTGACATCTCCTTCAGGTTTGGGATGACGGGTTACTCTTATCTGGGGAGAGTCTGCAGTAAACAGATAGGTAGACGGTGGTGAGCACAGTTTCATGTCTGCAGTGGGAAAGGCTGTGGGGTCCGGATGCCTCCCTCCATCCCTGTGCTGGAGGGGCCGTGGCGCTCTCTATCCCGCTGGCCACATGGAGGAGGGCTGGGCTTGGGGGGGGGGGTTGTTTACCAGTTCGGTTGAAGTCCTCTCCTCCGAGGGTCAAGTATTTCTTCAGCCACAGGAGGCATTCCTTCTCCAAGTAGCTCTTTTCTCTCTCCAGCCAGTACTCATTGTCTTTCCACTTCCGCACGGTGTGGTCAGCGATGAACGTGGCTGCTCTGTATTGCATGGAGTCTAGATCCAAGGTCAGGTAGTCGCTGCCGTCGTAGCCGTACTGCCAGTGTCCTGTGGCACTTCTGTCCTCCCGCATCTCACAGCCGTATGTGAACTGGAGGGTGTGAGGGCCTAGAGCAAGCATGTCAGTGGCCAGAGAGGACTTCCCCAGACCGCTCTCTCCATTATGGCCCCTGTTCCCCTCACTGCCATGGGATTCCTTGGGTTCTCCTTAGAGGGTGTTCGCGTTCTAGATCATGTCGTCTGACCAGCTCTGTCGGGGGGCCAGGCCTGCACTGCTTCAGGTCACGATAAAGAGCCTTGGCCAGGGAGGGAGGACCCAGAGCGTAGCCCACAGGACTCCTGTGCTAGCAGCCCCGAGTCCATGCGTCACCTCCCGGGGACGGGTGAAGGACGCACTGTGCTCAGTGCTTCTCCGAGGGGTTCTAGAGACGAAGCACTGACTGGGGGGTGGGGTGGGGTACACACTTGGAGCCCTGCAAGCAGGAGGTGCTGGCAGGTCATCCTCAGCTACATAGTGAATTAGAGGCCAGCTTGGACTCCATGAGTCCCTGTCTCAAAAAACAACAAAACAAAAAACCCAACCAAACAAATAAAAAACCCAACAAACAACAAAAACAAAAGAAACTGAACCAAACCAACCATTGACCAGCAAGAAAACAAGCTTTTATGCTGCAGAATTCTCTAATGAATTTCAAAGTCAGCTGTCACTGAGATTGCCTGGCCTGGAGTCACAAGGCCCCCCACCCCCCATGAGTGCTTTCCCGGAGATGCTGCAAGCAAGCAATTTAAGGACAAATGCTCAGTACTGCATGTGAGCTTGTAGATCTGTGACTCCGGACACATGACTGTCAGTCTGTCAGGACACTGAGGGCCTCCTGTCCCCCCACCCCCTCCAGGCACACACCTGCTCGCCGGCTCTGGGCCCCCGAGCTGTTGTAGTACTGTTCTATGTTTCTCAGGCTCAGCTGGAAAATCTTCATCCGGTTGGTGAAGACCTGAGTCTCATCAGCAAAGTAACTTGGATTTTCCCTCAGCCAGTCAACAGAGGGCTCTGCCTTCAAGCGGATGCTGTCATAGTGGATGAAGGGCTGGCCATCTACGAAGCCAGTGGCAAAAAATGCAGGGACTCCCGGGCCCGGGTTACTCACAGCAGAGTACGCGTACAGCAGAGAGTGTGATCCTGAGGTGGGAATCAGGGTTTGGTGTGAGGTAGTGATGGAGGGTCGGGGGGGGGTGAGTGTGCTCCACCAGCCAAGTGAGCCAAATTCCACACTGTACTCTAGGATAATTCCGAGAATTGACGAAGAAGTGTAAGGGGCCAGAGAGATGGCTCAGTGCTTAAGAGCATTGGTCACTCTTAGAGAGGACCTGAGCTCCCTTCCCAGCGCCCACATGGCCCCTCAAGCCACCTGTACCTCCAGATCCAGGAGTTCTGACATCTTCTGGCCTCCCAGGGCGCTGTCTGCATGTGGTGTGTGTCAGGAAATGCAGGATCTCCCTCCATCCCCCGCTGGTTCTTTCCATATTAGAGATGTTTGTTTTAAATTAAAAACTTAAGACTATAGAGTAATGGGTTTCATCTTAGTATCTGTGCATATGGGCCATTATGTTTGGGTACAGGCTTCATTTTGTTTGCTAAGTGCTGGGAATTGAACTCTGGACTCCTACGTGCTTGAGAGTTGCTCTCTTACTGATCCTCATCCCAAAACACTTTTTCTCTTTGTAAAGATTACTTTAGGGACTGAGAGATGGCACCTGTTCCTTTGGCAGAGGACCCAAGTGTAGTTCCCAGCACCCACATGGCTGGAATTCTAGTTCCGGGCGATCTGATGCCCTCTTCTGGCCGGTGCAGATACTTCACAGGCACCACGGAGGCCAGAAGAGGGTGTCGGATCCCCTGGAAGCGGAGTTGCAGGTGGTTGTGAGCTGCCCCGTGTGGGTGCTGGGGACTGAACTCCCGTCCTTTGCAAGAGCAGTGGCAGTGTGTGCTCTTCACCAGTGAGCCGCCTCTGCAGCCGCCAGTGAGCTGTCTTTGCAGCGCTGCTGCTAGGCTTCTCCCTCGTTGCTCTGCCCCACGTGCTTGCTCCTAGTTAAGTCAGTTTCTGCTGCTTGTTTTATCCCTGTGATCTGCCTCTCCTGCCTCCTTGACTCCTTCCTTCTCTGTCATGATTCCTTCTGTCTAGTTTTGCAATCCCCTATCATAGAAAGGCACTTGCACACAGGCGTATATAATCTCATGTTTATTTTTTTCTTTAATTTATTATTGAGACAAAGTCCCTGTGTGAGGCTGGCCTTCTGCCTCCTCCTCCCAGATGCTGGGGTGAGGGGTGTGCACTGTCGTGGTGAGAGGTGTGCACTGTCGTGGTGAGGGGTGTGCACTGTTGTGTTCAGCACACACAGCACACAGCATTTTTTTTTAAACTGGATTTCCAGATGTGAGAAAATATATAGTATTTGTCTTTCTGGGGCTTGTGTCTTAGTGTTCTGATTCCAGTTGTATCTGCTTCCCCACAATGCCGTAATTTCATCTTGCTTAAAGATGGCATGAGAATCCACTGGATGACTGAGTAAGATTCATTGTATCGTATCAAAGTCTGGGCATTTGAACGACATTTATTTATTCAGGCAGGATGTCTGGAACACTGTGGTGATTTCCTGATGTGGGATTCCCTTGTGTATATGTGTTGGTTAATGAATAAAGAAGCTGCTTTGGCCTGTGATGGGGGGGCACGGACACCACTAAAGTGAATGCTGGGAGAAAGAAGGCGGAGTCAGTGCCAGAGATGGGCACTAGACGGAACTTCTCCCGGTAAGCCACAGCCATGTGGTGATACACAGATTAATGGAGATGGCTTAGTTTAGGATATAAAAGCTAGCTAAAAATATGCATAAGCTATTGGCCAAACAGTATTGTAAATAATATAGTTTCTGTGTGATTATTTCGTGAGTTTGAGTGGCCAGGAAGCGAACAAGCAACCTCCCCCAACAGTTTCCTGGCCAGCCACACCCTGAGGTACACACCATAGTTGTTTTGTGTGTGTGTGTGTGTGTGTGTGTGTGTTGGGGGTGGGAGGAGTCTTATCCTGTGGCCCTGGGTAGCCTAGAGCTCAGAGCAATCCCACCTCAGACTCCCGTCTGGGATTACAGGGTCACAGGGGAGACACTGCTCTTGGCTCCATTCAGCTTCTTTCTGTATAGAAGAAAGCTGATGGGAAGTCAGGCTGCCCCAACTCTAACATTCTAGAACCCAAAGCCCTGGAGCCTCACCCAGGAGCCCTCTTTTGTCCCAACCTTCAAGACCCGGACAGACACGCTTCCAGCTGAGCTACATTTTCAGCCTCCGTTCTCTCCTGTCTTAGGAGCCTCACCTCTTCACCTACTTCAGCTACTGCGTGGTTCCCTGTTGGGGCTGCACATGTCCTTTTGTGAACACCCCACTAAAGCATAGTCCTCTCTCTCTGTCTGCCTGACTTCCTGCCTCTCTCGTGCCCCAACTTGCGGATGTTCTCCCCTTATAAATCTGCTGTGTGTGGCGTGTTCTCTTGGTGGCATACCTTGGCAGGATCTGCCACAGGTACTCACTTGGCCACTTTCTACCCTGTCATCACTGGCTAGCACCCAGATGGTGGAAGGAGAGAACCGATCCAAACAGGCTGTCCTCTGACTTCCACATCTGCACAGATGTTAACTACAATGTGGGCGATGTGTACTTATTAAGTAAACATGAAGTTCAGAAACGCATGGTGGCTCAGCTGTTCAGGGCACGCACTGCTCTCCCAGATATTCTCTCTCTCTCTCTCTCTCTCTCTCTCTCTCTGGTTTTGGTTTTTGAGACAGAAACTCTGTCTATCTTTGGCTGTCTGTCCCGGAACTCGCTCTCTGTAAATCAGGCTGACTTTGAACTCACAGAGATCTGGTTCTGCCTCCCAAGTGCTGGTATTACAAGTGTGTGCCACCACTGCCCAGCCTGAGCTTCAATTTAGGACCCAGTGTGGCCTCGAATTTGCCAAGTATCTGATGGCCTTGAACTCCAGATCTCCCCACCTCCATTTCCCAAGTGCAGCCCTTCTGCAAAATAGTCCAAGGAGGACGGGGTTGGGGTCATTCCTGCCTTGAATTTGCCCAGTGAATCGGCACAAACTCCCTTCCCCACAGAACTCACGGGCTCCGCTGTCCGGGGGGCGACTCAGGAACCAGAGGATTAGAGCCCACATGGTGTCAGGCGCAGTCAGTCCGTCGTCTCTGAGGTTTAACCAGTAAGGTGGGAGGGTGTTGGCAACTGAAAAGGGGCGGGCTTTAAGGGTGTGTCTATTTTCAGGGGTCCTGGCAGGGCTTCCCACCAGGATGAGGGCCTTCTTGCCTGGAGATGTGCCCCCCACACCCACCCTGGCTCTGAGCACCGCAGGCTAGCAGGCTAGTGCTGCTGCAGTCGGTCCTTTGGGCAGTTTGAGCCCTCACTCTTGCCAGCATCTCCAGCTTGTTTACTTTTGAGCTGCTTTGACCCCGCCTCCTCCTCGGCTCTGGTCCGCTGCTGCTTTCAGAGCAGATAGGCTGGGTGGCACTGTTAACTAACAGTCTCTGTCTATCTCCCTCCCTCCCCCATCCTTTCTTTTTCGAGATAGAATTTCTCTAAATAGCCCTGGCTGTCCTGGAACTCACGCTATAGACCAGGCTGCCTGGAACTCACAGAGAGTTCCTGCCTCTGCCTCTCCCTCTCAAATGCATCGCCTGGCCCACTTCCTATTCTTATAGAGGGCCCAGGTTCAAGTCCTAGCACCTGCCTGATGGCACACAACCCTTTGTAACTCTAGAGGATCTGGTGCTCCCTTCTGGCCTCCATGGAACTCATGCTATAGACCAGGCTGCCTGGAACTCACAGAGATCCGCCTGCCTCTGCCTCTCCCTCCCAAATGCATCTCCTGGAGTACATTTGTAGAGAAGGCAAACATACACATAAAACAAAAGCATAAATTGTTGTGCCCAGATTATGATGCCCAAAGAGAGACCACCAGAGAGGCCCAGACTGTAATAAACAAGGTTTAATCAGCATAATACAAGCATGTTTGGAACCCCTGTCTCCAAATGACCCTGTTACGGTGAGGTAGAGAGAGGAGTTGTATCTCCTCTGTGGGGTAAGCTTTTAAAGGCATAACTACAAAGAGGCTTTTTGAAGCTGCTTTGGCATGTTTGCGAGAACTTTTGCTCCCTCCCATCCTGCTAAGTCAGCTTTCTCCTTGTTCTTAGAGCAAGGCCACTGTTCCTGAGTTAGGCCATCTTTATCAGCCTGTACCAGGTGGCTGGCTGGGCTGAGCTAAGTGACCTTGTGCTCAGAATCTCCTGGGTGGGAAAGGGAAAGGCCACTATCCTCCTGGGAAAACATTCTGCTAGGAAATTTCTTCTTGTCCCTTTGAGAATAAGGGGTGAGGGTCCTACAAAATCTGATCTGAGAGGTGGCTCAGTGATTAAGAGCACCTAAGGGCCTGAGTTGGTTTCCTAACCCCATGGCAGGTGACTCACAGCTGTCTGTAACTCCGTTCTGGGGGATATGCTCCCCATCTCTGAGAGTTCCATATTCACACACACAGACACATATACATAAATAAAAAGCAAAGCAAAACAATAATCTTTAAAACCATTACATATGAAGTTGGACTCGGTGTTATATGCCTTTAATTCCAGTACTTCGAAGGCAGAAGTGGGTCTCTGTGAGTTCCAGACCAGCTGGGGCTACACAGTGAGACCCTGGCTCAAAAAAGGGAATTACATAGAGAGGAAATGTGTGCCTTAACACAGTAAAGAGCATGTGGGAAAACTCGTGATCAACATCTTACTGAATGGGAAGAAGACAGTTCAGTTTCCAGAGCAATGTAAGGGATTGAACCACGGGGCATCCATATAACTGAGCTTCTGGAATGACATGGGTGTGCTGTGTGGGAGGCTGAAGGCAGTCAGGAAGCTGTTCCTCAGACCCCGCACAGGAGCCAGGAACTAAGTCAGAGCCCTGTTGGAGAGGGGAGGCAGAGACACGGAACCGCGTGCAAGATGGCTGTGCAAAGCAGACCATTTGTGCGCATCTTGGTCTCCAGGGCTAAGTGAGGATGGAACTCACAATGTCAATCGCAAATGGTTAAGGAACAAAAATCTGGAATTTTAAATTTAATGTCAGCGCGTAGGGAGGCTGTGCCCCATTGCTTCTAACCATCCGCAGCGGAGGGAACTGGATAGCCTCCTGCACCAGGGGGATGCGTGACGGAGAAAGGGCCCTGGGGGTGCCTGGCCTTAATAAAGACGGCCTCTCATGCCATTTCTCTGTGTTAAGAGAGTGACCTCATTGCTGTAAGGCACAGCGCCCCGGGTGCCCACCATCGGACTTTATATATCAGCTGCTTTTTCCTTCTCGCCAAGTATATTCCCGTTTTTGTTTGTTTTTTGAGACTGGTTTTCTCAGTGTAGCCCCAACTGTCCTAGAACTCACTTTGTAGACCAGGCTGGCCTCAAACTCAATGAGATTCACCTGTCTCTGTCTTCCAAGTGCTGGGATTAAAGGCGTGCACCACCATGCTGGGCACTATTTTGTTTCAAAAAGATTTTATTTTTCCTCTTAGAAAAAATGTTATTTTTAATGTGTGTGTGTGTGAGAGAGAGAGAGCAGGGAGAGAGCATGTGTGTCACATGTGGGTGTGTGCCCAAGAATGTGGAGGCACAGGTGATTGTTAGCTGCCTGACGTGGACGCCAGGAACTGGTCCTCTGGAAGAGCAATGTGTGCCCTGTGCAAACGTGAGGATCTGAATGCAAATCTTAAGCACCCATGTAAATAACCATGCCTGGCTACATCAGTGCCAGTGAGCTCAGTGCTGTGGGCGGTGGAGAGAGGTGAATCACAGGGGCTTGCTAGCTACCAGCCTAGCTTCGGATTCAGCGAGAGCCTGTGTCTCGGGAAAGAGGCAAACACGCTAGAACAGGAACCGAACATCCTCTTCTGGCCTTCAAGAGCACCCATAGTCCTCATGCTGTTGTACCACACAAATCAGGGAGGATGGGGATGGAGGGATGGGGTAAAAAAAGCCAAATATGATGATAAATTGGCATGAAAATGGCACAGTTAAATCCAGGTTCTCATTGACCCGTCCTGCGTGGGACCACAACACAGCTGGCTGTATGATGTGAGGCGGGAGCAGATGAAAGCCTCCAGGAGCCTTCAGAAGATGCCACACCCCACGACCCGCTGCAGTGGCTTATCAGTGAGTCAGCTCCAGATGTCAGGAGACTGGATGTGGAGGTGGCGGCTGGGGATGTGTACAGTGGAAGGGACAAGTAGAGGATAAGGAAGTTAAAAAGAGCAGCATAAGAACCAACGCCAGTGGGAGCGGAGGAGCAGCACAGGAGGAGGAGCTCTGGAGGAGCAGCACAGGAGGAGGAGCACAGGAGGCGACTGTAACACCTGGCTGTTGGATGGGAGGATGAGAAACCAAGAGTTAGCAAAGAAAGGCCCCGGCTGGGAAAGAGTCAGTGTTTGGACTGTAAAGAGTGCCCCCCCCCCCCCCAGCTAAGACAGCTAGAGGCAACACTGAAGTCCTCAGCCAGCAGGCTTCCGACCACCACAGGGGTAGACAGTGGGCCGGCTTTTGTGTTCCAGGTAAGTCAGTCCGAGTTCTGGCACCTTCCTGGGGCGTAATCGGAAGTTGCATTGTGCATGCAGACTCTGGAGTTCGGGGCAGGTAGGAAGGATGTCTAGAACTCTAAAGAGACCCTAATTTGACCGTGGAGGCTGGCACGGACTAAGCGGTTCTCCTTCCCTTTGCCCTCTCTAGGCTCAGGAATTCCCCTACCAGGTGGGGCTTCTCCTGTTTGAAATCATGTTTGGTACCCCACCTCCCATCATTCCCAACCTCCAGACAGATTTGTTGGCAGAGTTGGATGGCCAAGACCTCCATGATGCTATGTGAGGGGCCCAATGGGCACCCAAGGAAATTTTGGCCCAAGCTCAGGGCCCTCTCTGAATCTGGTGTTACCCATGAGCCCCACGGGTTATGGCTGGGGAATTGGGTCTGTTTTAGGAGACACTGCCTGGGGTCACTGGAACCCATTTGGAAGGGACCATAGTCATCCTAACCACACCCACCTGGGCCAGTTACACCCATGCCAGGCCTGCGATCCCTTCACATTCAAGGAGGGACCAAGGCGAAGGATGGGAGGGGTCAAGGGACCATGCAGACTGGGAGCCATCCAAATGATGGTGTTGCAAATTCACTATCGGCCCCTCCACCAAGAAGTTATAGAACTTGAAAGGGTTCCGTGATTGGAACTTCTAGGGACCAGTCAGAGGGGAAACTTGCTTAGTCTCGCAGCGTCTGTCTTGAAAATGGGCCTCCATCTTACGGCTAAGTCTGGTGACGACGTGTGTGTGTGTGTGAGTGTGTATGAGTGTGTGAGTGTGTGTGTGAACCCAGTTCCAGAAGACAAACAAACCCATGAATGTGCTTAGGCAGTAAAAACCTGAGCAGACACCTTAGACACAGCCAGTCAGAAGGCTGAGCACTGAACTTAACAAGATCTGGATGTTCTTGCTATACCCTGTCTGCAGTTTGTGGTTTTGCCCCAACAGCCTGACCAATGATTTTAAAGATCTCCTTGCCCCATACCCCTACCCAATCCCGAACCGCCAAGGCATAAACTCCCTGCTTGCGGTTTTTTCCTTTAAAAACTTGCTGCTCCCTGAGTCCAGGGTCACACTCCCCCATCAGCTGTGTCAGTGACCAAGGTCGAGCTTGACAACAAAGGCCTTGGTGTGTTTGCATCGGAAACCAGCTCCCTGGTGGTCTCGTTCTAGCCTCCCCAGTCACCTGCTCATGTGTGGTGCACGTAACCTCACACAGTGGGCACGCGTGTGCACACACACACAAGTGTAAAGTTTGCTTTACATTTTAATCACAGAATTAAAATCAAGAACATTGAAGAGGGGTTTTTTCCTGCTCTCTGGGCAGTGCGTGGCCTGGCTGGCTCCGTGCTGCGCGAGCATCGATTCATCTGGAGAAGGCAGAACATCTTTACCTGGTCTCCTCTGCTGGTCTGCTGACCCTTGCCTTGCATTCAGACAGCAGCAGGTACCATTGTATGACGGACGGTCCTCGTGTTTGTCACACCTGGGCATGTCAAAGACCAGATCTGCCCTGCATCCATGGCAGGAAGTCCCTCCTCCAATCTACTGTGTTCCTCCCCTGCTTGTCCCTGCATGTCTCCATCGGTTCCTTACGTGTGTGTGCTGTGACGTGTGTGTGCTGTGGCATGTGTGTGTGCTGTGGCATGTGTGTGTGCTGTGGCGTGTGTGTGCTGTGGCGTGTGTGTGTGCTGTGGTGTGCGTGTGCTGTGGTGTGTGTGTGCTGTGGTGTGTGTGTGTGTGTGCTGTGGCATGTGTGTGTGCTGTGACGTGTGTGTGTGCTGTGGTGTGCGTGTGCTGTGGCGTGTGTGTGCTGTGGCGTGTGTGTGCTGTGGCATGTGTGTGTGCTGTGGTGTGCGTGTGCTGTGGTGTGTGTGTGCTGTGGTGTGCGTGTGCTGTGGTGTGCGTGTGCTGTGGTGTGCGTGTGCTGTGGTGTGCGTGTACTGTGGCGTGTGTGTGCTGTGGCATGTGTGTGTGCTGTGGTGTGCGTGTGCTGTGGTGTGTGTGTGCTGTGGCGTGTGTGTGCTGTGGTGTGTGTGTGCTGTGGTGTGTGTGTGTGCTGTGGCGTGTGTGTGCTGTGGCATGTGTGTGTGCTGTGGCGTGTGTGTGCTGTGGCGTGTGTGTGCTGTGACGTGTGTGTGTGCTGTGGTGTGTGTGTGCTGTGGCGTGTGTGTGCTGTGGCGTGTGTGTGTGCTGTGGCGTGTGTGTGTGCTGTGGTGTGCGTGTGCTGTGGTGTGCGTGTGCTGTGGCGTGTGTGTGCTGTGGTGTGTGTGTGCTGTGGTGTGTGTGTGTGCTGTGGTGTGTGTGTGTGCTGCGGCGTGTGTGTGTGCTGTGGCGTGTGTGTGTGCTGTGGCGTGTGTGTGCTGTGGTGTGTGTGTGTGTGCTGCGGCGTGTGTGTGCTGTGGTGTGTGTGTGCTGCGGCGTGTGTGTGTGCTGTGGCGTGTGCGTGTGCTGTGGCGTGTGTGTGCTGTGGCGTGTGTCTGCTGCGGCATGTTTGTGTGCTGCGGCATGTGCGTGTGTGTTGCACGTGTGCAGTAGTGTGTGTGGAGGTCAGGGCTTATCTGTGGAGTTGGTTCTCTCCTTCCACTTTTACTTGGTGAAATTCCAGGACCTCAAAGAGGAGTTTGAAGAGGGCTCTTGGCCCTGAGTCCTGTCGTTCTTGGCAGAGAGAAGAGACCAGGAGCTGTCCCTGCCTCCATCTGACCCCCCAGTCACCTTTGGATGCAGGGAGTTCATCAGTGGCCTGTAACAGCCTTCAGTTTGTTTGGCAGGGGAGGGCTTTAAGCCAGCACTTTAAGCCACAGAACCGTCTCACAGGCCCCTGGTGGGTTCAAGCTGCTTTCCCTGGTGCAGTCTCAGCTCCCAGGCTGTGGGGAGACCAATTCTGGACACTTCCTGCAGCCCACGTGCTCTGAGGACCTGAATTTTCCAACTCTGGAACGTGCGGTTTTGCTGTTGGCCACTGCTGGGTCTAACTGGTATTCCAGAAGAATATTGAACGATGTGAACAGGAACTAAGGGGGTAATGTCACTTAACCATTTAAACCTGTGATTGGTGATGTTTCCCAGTCCTGTTAAGGGGCTAAGTTTGGGGTGGGAAGGTAGGTATCTAAAGCGTGTACAGGAGGGTCCTGAGATGGTTCTGAGGCCGTCAGGTGGGGAGGAACTTTTGCCACCAAACCTGACGACCTCAACCTCAGTTTGAGTCCCAGAACCACATGCTGAAGGAGAGAACCAGCTCCCTAAACTTAGCCTCTGATCTCTACACATATTCTATGTCATGCATGCATCTACATAATATACATACAAAATAAATACTTAAAAAAAAACCCAGATGTGATGGTGCTTGCCCAGCACTCAGCAGGTAGAGGAAAATGGATGTCTGTGAGTAAGAGGCCAGCCTGGTCTACATAGCAAGACTATGACTCAAAATGAAATGAATAAATACCCTCCCCCCAGGAAAAACCCCTTGGGCTGGCCAGATGACTCCGTGGGTAAAGCAGCTGCCCCTGAGCCTGATGCTGACTGTGATTCCTAAGGACCAAGTGCCCCACACAAACACACACAAAACAAGCCAGAAAACAGCTAAAACCCTTGTGCATGAAAGTAGAAATGGGGCCATTTGGGGAAAGGAAGGAGACAGGGAAGCAGGGACGGAAGGGCAGTGGCCATGGACGAGGTGTGCTTAGGTGAGAATGTCACTGTGAAGCCCTTCACATCGTGATTGTGCCCTAACTTTAAAACCTTAAGGAAATAAGAAAAGGAAGCAAAAGGGGGAAGCAGACATTTAAAATCATGTGATACTGTATTTAAAATATCAGAGTGGATTTCAGGAGTACAATATCAAGCAGGGCGTGGTGGGTCGGATTGTCTAAGCACTTGGATGTGAGGATGGTGGCCGACCTTGCCAGTGGTGAAGCTGAGCCTGTCACCCAGCACGTGCTCGTGGAGGTGGAGCCCAGACGGGAGGAGTTGAGGCCAGCCAAAGCCACAGGAAATCCTGTCTGAAAAACTCAAAACAAAAGCCCATATTAAAAAAAAGCCATGACTGATGTCCTCAAATTTCAAAGGTATTAAGTAGAGTTAGCAGATGCACTTGAATTAATGAAGTTGGGCATGTGGCTATTTCCATTCGGGATAAAGGGAAGGCTGGACAGATGGCTCAGATGTTATGAGAGAGAGCACAGCTCTTGCAGGGGACCCAGGTTCAGTTCCCAGGACCCCCGCTAAGTAGCTCATAACCATCCGTGTGTATATCCCACAGCTCACAACTACCCGTGCGTACACCCCACAGCTCACAACCACCGTGCGTGCGTACACCCCACAGCTCACACCCCACAGCTCACAACCACCCGTGCGTACACCCCACAGCTCACAACCACCCATGCGTACACCCCACAGCTCACAACCACCCATGCGTACACCCCACAGCTCACAACCACCCGTGCGTACACCCCACAGCTCACAACCACCCGTGCGTACACCCCACAGCTCACAACCACCGTGCGTGCGTATACCCCACAGCTCACACCCCACAGCTCACAACCACCGTGGGCATACCCCCCACCCCCGCAGTGAAGAAAGGGTTTAAACATGCGGGTGGAGCAGCTTTCCCTCCTTTTTCTGACTTATTCCTCCCACCCCTCACCCTCAGACTTTGGCTTTCCCCCTGGTTTAGCTGCAAGCATATTTTGCAGCATGTGTAATCTCGGGAAACAGCTTGAACTGGTGTATCCAGAGAGATCTGATTTGGAAACAGATTTCCTGGCAGCCTGTGGGGAAAAAGAAACTTAACCAAGAAACGAGAGTGAAAGTTGAGGGGGGCGGGGGCGGGCGGGGGCGGGGGCGGGGCGGCTCTCGAGGGAAGCTGCGGTTCCTGCACAGCAGGGAGCATTGTCTCAAAGCCTTTTCCTGTCAGCGGCCGCCCGCCTCTGAAGGCCAACTGTGGGTGACAGCCTGGCCTGGCCGCACGTCCAGGGGGCAGGGCTGAGACAGCTGGTCACATTATCCCACTGAACCAGCTCTAGGGACAGCAGGGGGCTGGGGTCCAGCAAAGCTGGGTAGAGTGTGAGGTTGAGAGGCTAGAGCCGTTCTTTCATGTCCTCCCTCGCCCCCTGTCTGCCCCCCCGCCCCCCTGTGGAGTTTGTCTTCAATCCTTGCAGGCTAATGAATTCCTAAGCCAAGGTTTCTCTCCTCCCCTTCTTCCTTCCTTCTTTGCCCCGAGAGAGAGAGAGAGAGAGAGAGAGAGAGAGAGAGAGAGAGAGAGAGAGATGAATTTTCTGGGTGTTGGTTTTTGGAGGGGAAGGGACAGGCAAGGGCTGACATGTGTTTTTGTCACATGTTTGCACGCAGGTCCACTGGAGACAGGAGGAGGAACGCATGAGCTTATTCGGTGAGGTGACCAAGGAGACGCCAAGACTCACGTTTGTTTTCCTATCCGGATCCAACCTGCACATTTCCCCAAGAAATCCCCACTGCTCTCGCCTTCCCGTTTGGTACTACGTAGGGATGACCACACGGGACTGGCCGGCTCCCCAAACCTTTGTACGCTCGTTTCCCAAGTGAGTCCCCAAAGCCAAGGCTGTCTCTGATCACACTAGCAGGGAATGGAGGAAATGAAATAACTGTGCAGTAATATCAAGAGGTGGGTGAGGGGACTGGAGAGATGACCCAGTGGTTAAGAGCACTGGCTGCTCCTCCACGGGATCTGAACTCGATTCCCAGCACCTTCATGGAGGCTCACGACCATCTCTTAACTCCTGTTCCAGGCACACAAGCGGTTCACAGACATACATGCAGACAAAATACCCATGCACATAAACTTTAAAGAAATTCTTAAACGTGGATTTGGGAGAGCTGGTCCTCCGAGCTTAGCCTGACCATCACCATCCTGGGACATGAGTTACCATGGTGATTGAGCAGAGACCCCAGCTTGTGACTGGGACATAGCAGAACTTAAATAAAATTGAGGGGATAATGAATTGATACTGAGTCTGTTGATATTTTTCTCTTGGGAACACGGGAGGAAACTAGAAAACTGCCCTCCTAGAATTCATTAGCCACCACCCGTCCCTGCTTGCTGTCATAGACAGATAGCGAAGATTCTGTAAGTGTATATAAAAGAAAACCGCTGACCAGGGGGTGGGACTTGGGTGGTGCAGCTGCCTAAGGTTGTGTTCAGTAATCTGTACACTGCCTTGAGTTAAACCATCGGTCATGGCTGAACTTAGAAAAGTCATTCTTTGAGGGTTTGGTGTTGTCCAAATTTGGAGGTAGAGAACTTCTCCCTTTCCCCAGGAAAGCCATGTGACACTGGGTATCTGTTGATTGGTGTGGTCTACTGTGTGTGATGTCAACGCCCTACTAGGTGTTGGGTACTTGGGTTTTTTTTGTTTTTAATAAAATATCCTGACAAGAAGCAGCCTGTAGGAGAAAGGAATTCAAGGCTAGCCTGGTTTACAGTGTGGAGGACAGCCACAGCTACACAGAAAAACCCTGTCTTGAAAAGCCAAGGGGAAAAAAAAAGATTATGGGGAAACTTGAATGCAGCTTATGGGAAACCCCAGTGGTGCAGTGTGTGGGAGGGTGTGGTGTGAGCTGCAGTGCTGCAGAGGAGGGCAACGTGTCCCCTGACATCCCTCTCACCATGTCCCAGTTAATGGTAAATGTCCGTGGGGGATTTTTTTGATTGCCAATTGATGTGGAAGGCTCAGCCCATCGTGGGAAGCACCTCTCCCTAGGAGGGAAGTCCAGGCCACATAAGAAAGCTAGCTGGGCACAATAAGCCGTGCCTGCCAGGAAACATCTCTCATGGTCCCTGCCAGCCTCTCTGGCTGCATGTTTCCCTCTGCCTTGACTGGTGGACGTGATGTGTACAGCTGTCCCAAGCTGCTGCCACAGTGACTCCCTTAGTGATGGACTGCGCCCTGGAGCTGTGAGCCCAATAAACCTTCCAGGCCCTACGTTATTTCTGGCTAAAGTGTTTTGTCATGGCGTCAGAACGGAAACTAGGACACGCTGCTAGCGTGATGTACAGCCACGTGACGCACAGCCACGTGACGGAGCCCAGCATGGAGGCTCTTGGCTCTGCACTGTGCGACCAGTGTGGTGGGTCATGAGCGTAGTAAGAGGTCTTAGAATGCACAAGGACCAAACTTAACTCGGGTTCAAAAGGTGTAGTGCAGTTAATGCTGCTGGCAGTGCAGGCTCGCCTTTGTCACGGGACGTCACTGCAGCCTCCGTCCTGAGCACTCTGTGTTCACGCCACTCTGCATCCAGGGAGCAACGCTTGAAATTTCCCAGCTCAGCTCTGATGCTGCCGTATGTTAGGAATCGCGGTGTTTGATTGGACATGGTATTTTGTGCTCTTACAGAGACATGGTTTGATTACAGAAGGTACAGACAGCATTTCCTCACATCTAAGTGTATTGCGTTATATTAGAATGTTTGATTTTAAAGTTCGTATTGGAAAGGCTGGAGAGATGGCTCAGCAGTCGAGAGCATCGGCTGCTCTTGTTGAGGACCTGGATTCAGTTCCCAGCACCTCATGCTGGCTCACAACTGTCTCTAATTCCAGTTCCAGGGATCTGATGCCCTCTTCTGGCCTCCAACAGCACCAAACACACGTGTGGTTTACGGATATACATGCAGGCACTCACACAAAATAGAAATAAAAATCTTCTTAAAACTTGGTATTTGAGTTGCTGACTTGACTGCTCCAGTTTAGGATTTAGCCAGTTAGTAGAGCCCTTGCCTAGAACACATGAAGCCCTGGATTTCGTGGTCAGCCCTGCCTGAAGCAGGGATTGCTACAGAGCAAGTTCAAGGCCAGCCCCGGCTACTTGAGATCCTGTTTCGAAAAACAAGCACAACAAATTGCTGAACGGACTGAGGTGTGGGAATAGGTCACAGTTCCCGAAATGACCTGGAGCATGCTTCTGTGATTCTGTGCCTTGGATTTATAGGAGTGGCATCTGCAATGTAGATGACGATAACATCAAACTCTCAGTAACTATGAAAAACGCCGAAGATGCTCTGCGTTCTTCAGGATCAGACACTTGGCTGAGACTCAGTCACCCCACCCTGTGTGTGTTTTGAGAGGGGTTTTCACGTGGCTCTCTAGTCCAGGGTGGCCTTGAACTTGCTGTATGGGTAAGGATGACCTTGAACTCCTGGTCCTTGTGTCTCTACTTCTCAATTACTAGGATTACAGGCACGGACCACCACACCAGACGAAGTATAATTCTTTGAAATAAGCATATCCATAACCAAATTTTTTTGAATCTATAATAAGTGGTAAAATTCTATACATATACCAAATAATGGATTTTAAATAAATTATTAATATTTTATTAGTAGTATTTGATTTGAATACCTGTTTTATACACCAAAAGCCCAAGGCCATGTAAAAATATCCTGGGTGGGCCAGGTGGTGGTGCGCACCTTTAATCCCAGCACCTGGGAGGCAGAGACAAGTGGATCTCTGAGTTCTAGGCCAGCCTGGTCTATATATGTGTGTGTGCATGTGTGAGGGCAAATGTCCATGAAGCCCAGAAGAGAGTATCAGGTCCCCTGGAGCTGGGGTTTCAGGAGCTTCTGGAAGAGCAGCAAACGCTCAACCACTGAGCCATCTCTCCAGCCACCCTGCACCCCAGTCCTTTAGTGGCCTCGTGTGGGCAGTAAGGAAACCAGATGACTAGTGATAGACACAGGTAAAGTCCCGTGACTGTTCATGCCGCCTCTTCAGCCCCTCTTCCCCTTTTTAAAAAACAACCTAAATTGACATAGGAGGGATGGTGGGCTCATAGCGCGGTCTACCTGCAGGAATGAAAGTATGTCACATACGGAGCACACACATCTGTGCAGTGGTCGCTGACACTGCAGAACGCTGCTGCTTTACATGGCTGAAACTGTTTCCATTGGCCGGAGACAGTGACAATGGGAAACGCCCGCCCGGCTAAGAATCAGACTCTTATTTTCAGTAGGAAAGTCAAGACCTGTAATTCAGGTAGCAGGGAGGTGGCAAGATGGAGCTTGTTCCCTGTTGCATGAATAATAAAAACCCAGAGACAGATATTGGTGTACAAGATGAAGATCAGAAAAGCAAAGCAGCCAGTCACTGGCTCTAACCTCTACCTCAGACCAAAAATGGGTGATCCTGCCTCCAGGAATCCTCAGATTCAGACTGAGACTGGGCTGAGATCTGTCTCCTCCTATTTTATATCCCTCTCTGGTGCTGGAATTAAAATCGTGCACCACCACCACCTGGCCTCTATGGCTACCTAGTGTGGCTGCTGGGATTAAAGGTTTGTGCCACCACTGCCTGGCCTCTGTGGCTGGCAAACATGGCTCCTTTGCTCTGATTTTTAAGCAAGCTTTATTTATTAATAGAGTCTCTCCTGTTCGTGCTGGGAACAGGAAGCTTGGTCCTGAAAAGGAACTCAGGGTCAGCGTCCTGGTAGGTAGGAGTGGTCTCTGCAGATCTTCATCATCCCCAGAGATCTGGTGTTTCCTGAGTCAGCCCTTACTCAGTCCCGCGAGGCAGATGTCTAAAGCTGTAGGACCAGAGTTGTGAATCATCAGTATAAAGATGTCTCAGAGTCCTGCCATGACTCAAAATATCTAAATCTGAGAGGCCTTGGGACCCAGTCCTATCCTCTGTATCTCAGCCCCATTCCCAGGCCCCCAGGGTGTCATGTTTTTAAACCTCCAGAGACAAGGCAAGAGCTCTAGGCACTGTCCCTGCCAGCAGAAGAAGAAATGACAAGGTGTAGTTGGAGGCCTCTTGTTTGTTCCCGGCTGCCCAGACTCCCAAAATAACCACACAAAAACTATATTAATTACTGCTTGGCCAATTACTTAAGCATACAGCTAGCTAGCTCTTACATCTAGAATTAACCCATCTCCATTATTTTATATTTTATCACAAGGCTCGTGGCCTACCAGTAAGGTTCTGGCAAGTCTGTCTCCAATGAAGTCTCCATGGCTTCCCTGACTCCGCCTCTTTTCTTCCAGCATTCAGTTTAGTTTTCCCCACCTAGCTTAATTCTACCCTATCATGGGCTCAAGATAGTTTCTTTATTAAGGAATGGTATTCACAGCATACAGAGGGGAATCCTCATCAACAAGACACATTCAGGAGACTGAGAGGCTGTGGCTGGAGGAGGAATTAGGGGCTCCCCACCAGCTCCAGGTCCACCCCAAGAGCCCCAGGGACAATCCTGCTCCCCCCACACTTACCTACAACATGATCATAGCCTCCTTTTCCACCTGTGAGAAGAAAAGCTGTGAGAGACCAGGGAAGTCCCTGACCCTAGGAAGTTTCCAGAACTGACAGCAGACCCAGGTTAGAGACAACAGCAATGAGGACTGTGGATGTGTTTACCATTAATGAGGCAGAGCACACTTCTAAAAGGGGCTGAGAGAGAACTCAGACCCTGCCCTTTCCTACCTGTGTTTCTCCTCCTCTTCCTCACAATAACCACCACAGCTACAATGATCACAGCTCCAAGGAGAACTTGAAGAGCAATGATTGCCATGATGAGGACCTTGGAATGAGGCTCTGGGAAGGAATGGGCAGGAAGGGAAGGTGAGGGTCATGACCCAGCTCTCAGCCCTGACCCTGCTCAGGGTCTGCAGAAGGCTCCAGCTTTCCCTGACCCCAGCTCTGCACCTACTCCCTCCTTACCCCATCTCAGGGTGAGGGGCTCAGGCAGCCCTTCATGGTACACATGGCATGTGTATTTGTGCTCCTCCCCAGAAGGCACCACCACAGCTGCCCACTTCTGGAAGGTTCCATCCCCAGAAGGTCTGGTCTCCACCAGCTCCATGTCCTGAGTCTGTTCCTCCTCCTCCCTCTGCCAGGTCAGGCTGATGTCAGCAGGGTAGAAACCCAGGGCCCAGCACCTCAGGGTGACATCACCTTTAGGTCCAGGATGGTGGGTCACACGTGTCTTTGGAGGGTCTAAGGGAAAGGGTTGTGAAGATGAGACATCTTGCTTTCTTCTGGGGACTCAACAGTGTTCGTGTGACAAATCTGGGAATGGACAGGGGAACTGGGGTGGGATTAGGGTGTCCTGATATTAGTAGACCCTAAATAGAGCTCAGGCCCCGGGGTCATGTGTTCAGGATGCTCTAAGATGTGAGTGACAGTTTGGGGTAGGAGGCTTCAGGGCTCTGCAGACTGATGGAGGGGAAGAGATTCTGGTCTTGAGCTGAGTGAGGGCCAGGAGACTCAAAAAAGCTGGAGTCAGACTCCAGAGACACCGAGGGTGACCACAGAAGGAGGCCTGAGAGAAAAAGCTCCTGTGGTCAAGGGCCATCCTCAAGGCTGACCTGCTGTAAAAGGGTTAGTCTCCCAATAGGAAAAGCAGCCTGGAGTCTCCCTGTCCTTATTCCTCAGCCCGGTGCCTGCTGGACAGTGTTCTTCCTCTGAGGATGCCCAGTGCCTTTCCCCCACACTACCGAGGAAAAGCAAGAATGGGTCTCCAGGTACCTGAGTGCAGCAGGGTCGCCTTCCCCAACTGCAGGTATCTATGGAGGCTGCCTATGCACACGCCCTGCAGGTATGCTCTCTGGTGGTCGGCCTCTTCTACCTTCTCTGACTTGAGTTTAGAGATCTGAGAGGCCGCGTCAGTTGCGGTCCAGGAGCGCAGGTCCTCGTTCAGGGAGATATAATCCCGGCCATCGTAGGCCTCCTGACAGTACCCGCGGATGAGATTACCATCTGGACCCAGGTCACAGCCATACATCCACTGCAGAGTGTGAGGTTCTGGTGGGGACACAGTGGTTAGCGCCACCTTGCGGCCACCCTGCCCCCTGTCAGTGCGTCCACAACCCGACCTTTCAGAATCAAATGTGAAACCGAAACCTGAGTCAAACTCTGCGGGGTCCTTCCTGTTAGAGGGTCTGGGCAGGTGTTTGGAAGAAACTTTGACTCAGCGCGTGAAGACGACCCAAGCCTGTTTCAGGGGAGATGGAGGCCTCCCCTGTGATCAGGGCCGCTGTCACTCACCGGTGTCACTCTGATTGTAGTAGCCAAGCAGGGTCTTGAGGTTCAACTTGAAGTTCTTCCCTGTGTTCCTCGCTTTCCGTGTCTCCTCCTCCCAATACTCCAGCCCCTCCTGCTCCACCCACGGCGCCCGCGGCTCCATCCTTGGATTCTTCGCATCGCTGTCGTAGCGTACGAACTGCGTGTCGTCCACATATCCCACCGCAATGAACCGGGGCTCCCCGAGGCCGGGCCGGGACACAGCGGTGTAGAAATACCGAAGCGAATGTGAGCCTGGGGGAGGCCAGCAGTGAGACACCGACCCTCATCCCGGGACCAGGGTCCTAGGAGAAGGCAGGCGAGACGCGGACTAGGGCAGTAAAATGACTTTACGGGGTACTGCCCCCACCCGGCTCGCTGCTCCGTCCCGCAGTCTCCTCACCCCGTACTCACTAGCCTGTGTCTGGACCAGGACTATGGCGCCTGCCAACAGCTTGAGCCAGGAAAAAGAAGACATTTTTCTCAGCACAGGGGCCAGTGAAGGGTGTAGAAGCGATTTCTGTAAACTGCTCTACTTGGAACCTCTGTGTCACTGATTGGTTTCTCTAGAAACTCGGTGTCCAATGAGAACTGTGAGTGCCTTATTTGTGTCCGGAGAGAGGAAGCCGGTGGGAGTTGAAAGTGGAACTGTGTATACGGAAAACAGTGCAGGACATTGTTCTCTCGTCTTTAATACAGAAAATGCTGTCAAAAGTCACTGCGTGACCTAGGACTTTAACCGGACCCGTGTCCTCTTCTCTCTGGGGCAGCTGTGAATGTCCCGGATACTGTGGGAACCTGGCCCCGTACCCAGCCCGGCCAATCCGATACCGCCCACCCGCTGGAACAGTCCCCAAACCTAAAGCAAAACTCAAGACACACACAGCCCCCTGCGGAATCTCAAACGCTGGGATCAGGGGAGATTCGGGACCATGGGGGGGGGGGGCGTGAGGCGTCTTGTCTCCCGACCCGGAAGTCACTCACCGCCCCCACTCTGGTTGTAGAGGTGGAGCAGGTTCTGAAGGCAGGTTTGGATATTCTGTCTGTGCTCCTGTGGGTACCCAGTGCTCCACTCCGTCTGCTTGCTCCACTGTCTGTACTCAGGGCTCAAAGGGCTTGAACTCCATTGTCGTCCGTGTAGCCTGAAGCAATGAAAGCGCTGGAGGGGGCAGGATGGCAGGACATAGCTGTGGCATAATAGGGAAGCAGAGCCTGTGAACAGCGCAGATCCGGACCATCCTCTTAGCACACCTGGAAGAAAGAGTGAGCAAGATTGAATCACCAGGTTTTTATACTTCCCAAACCAAACCACACCTTTATGCTCTCTGAACCTGAAAGCCACTTCTGAGGACTTTGTCCTCACTCAATAAAGCTCTCTATCTTTTTATTATTGAGTTATTGAGCACTACAGTTTCCTCTACTCCCCTTCCTGCCTCTCCTCTCCCTCTCCCAAGGTTCCTATGCTCCCAATTTACTCAGGAGATTTTGTCTTTTTCTACTTCCTATGTAGATTAGATCTATGTAAGTCCACATTGTTGTCTAAGTTCTCTGGTATTGTGATTTGTAGGCTGGTTTATTTGCTTTATGTTTAAAAACCACTTATGAGTGAGTACATGTGATAATTGTGTCTTGGTCTGGGTTACCTCACTCAAAATGTTTTCTAGATCCATCCATTTACCTGCAAATTTCAAGCTGTCGTTATTTTTTTTTCTGCTGTGTAGTACTCTATTGTGTAAATATACCACATTTTTCTTATCCATTCTTTGGTCGAGGGACATTTAGGTTGTTTCCAGGTTCTGGCTCTGACAAACAAAGCTGCTATGAACATGGTTGAGCACATGTTCTTGTGGCACAATTGAGCATCCTTTGGGTATATACCCCAATAGGTATTGCTGGGTCTTGAGGAAGGTTGTTTCTTAATTTTCTGAGAAATCACTATACTGACATCCAAAGGGGTTGTACCAGTTTGCATTCCCTCTAGCAATGCAAAAGTGTTCCCTTTACCCCACTGTAGGAACCTGTTCCTGCCAGGTCAGCTAGAGTCTCTGGATAGGGGATCCTCGAGGCCAAAGAAAACTCAGAAGAAACAGAAGACAGGATAGAATCGGGAGGTCTGTCTGGTTATGCCGAAGCAGCCAAACAGCCCAGAGTTTATTTCAGAGCTTGCTTATATCCAAGAGCAGAGCAAAGCACAGCCCAGACGTCAGTCAGTGTCTAACTGCAGGACCATTCCTGTCCTTGAGTGAGCAGCCTCCTCTCCAACACGTGTTTGCTGCTCAGAAGCAGCCTTACGTTCTATCCTGATGTTCCTGAGGTTTGCCATCAGCAGTATACTCTCTGTTAGATAGAGTGTTTTCTTCTCACAGGCTAAATCAGAAGTTTCTCACAGCCCTCAAGGTTATAAGAAAAATGAGAGCAGGCAAGCTTGAACTCAAATGACTTCTTTAAGTAAGAAATGACTCCAGATGGAAACACATGGTCTCCCACATCCTACATCCTCTCCAGCATAAGTTGTCATCAGTGTTTTTGATCTCAGCCATTCTTACAGGTGTAAGATGGAATCTCAGAGTTGTTTTGATTTGCATTTCTCTGATGACTAAGGATGTTGAGCATTTCCTTAAGTGTCTTTCAGCCATTTTAGATTCCTCTGTTGAGAGTTCTCTGTTTAGGTCTGTACTTCATTTTTTTTATTGGATTATTCGTTCTTTTCTTGAGTTCTTTGTATATTTTGGAGATCAGACCTCTGATGTGGGGGTGGTGAAGATCTTTTCCCATTCTGTAGGCTGTCGTTTTATCTTGAAAGCCGTGTCCTTTGCTTTATAGAAGCTTTTCAGTTTCAGGAGGTCCCATTTATTAATTGTTGCTCTCAGTGTCTGTGCTACTGGGGTTCTATTTAAAAAGTGGTCTCCTGTACCAATGCATTCAAGTGTACTTCCCACTTTCTCTTCTATGAGATTCAGTGTAGCTGGCTTTATGTTGAGGTCTTTGATCCATTTGGACTTGAGTTTTGTGCATGGTGATAGATATGGGTCTATTTTCATTCTTCTACATGTTGATATCCAGTTGTGCCAGCACCATTTGTTAAATATTCTTTTTTTTATTTGATTTTTTTGCTTCTTTGTCAGAAATCAGGTGTTCGAAGGTATGTGGATTAATATCTAGGTCTTCGATCCAGTTCAATTGGTCCTCCTGTCTGTTTTTATGCCAATACCAGGCTGTTTTTAGTACTGTAGCTCTGTAGTAGAGTTTGAAGTCAGAGATTGTGATGCCTCCAGAAGTTCTTTTATTGTACTGGATTGTTTTGGCTATCCTGGATTTTTTGCTTTTCCATATGAAGTTGAGTTTCGTTCTTTCGAGGTCTTTGAAGAATAAAGCTAGGTCTCTGTATGATTATGTAATGCGTGGTTTAAAAATGGGACAACTAAATGAGGGATAATTAACTGGGATTGACTTATTATTATTCATCATTTTGATAATCCTTGTTGTTTTTATAATTCTTGGTTTATCTCTTAAAAAATTGTTTGGTATGACTGCCAAGATACAGGCCTTAGGAAAACTTAATAAAACAGATCACAGAGATATTCAGATTCATACAGAGGAATTTAATGGAGAACCAATTTCAGCATTGCATTATAAGGTTAGAGAGAAACAGCCTAAGGTTCTCAAACAAACAACCTTAATAAATCCAGTAACCTTACAGGAATTGCCAAATGTTAGAGGCTCTGTAAGAACTGACTGGACTCCTGTGTCACTGTTAGAGGGCTGCAGTAGGCCAGGAGGAGAGAAAGACAGATGGACACGCCATGACACCACCTTGCAGGTCTCCAAAGGAGGCTGGTCCAGGCAGGAAGACAGGCGGTGGTGGGCAAGAATCAGAGACATGGATAAGCAGGCCATGCAGAATGAGATTGGATATTTATTCAGTGGGTTAGAGAGGGGGAAAAGAAGAAGAGGAGGAGAGAAAGAGAGGGAGAAAGGGAGAGAGAGAGAAACAGAAGGGGAGAAGTGGGGAGAGTGGAGTGAGGCAGAAGCTGACTCTTCAGGAGAGAGACAAAAGGGAAAGGAAGAGACTCAGGTTGCAAGTAGGAAGATCTGCCTGCCTTGGATGTGGCTTGTCTCTTAAAGAGGCAGGACAGACCATTATAGCATCCATTCACCTTTTGTGAAGGAATTGCTAAACTTGTGATCAGCTTGTAATAGAATTATCTCTAAAGACTGGACAAACTTGGTTAAAGCTGTTTTAGAGCCTGGTCCACAGTCACAGAGGAGAACCTGGTTCAGAGAAGAGACCAAGATTACTAAACAACAGAGTAAAGCTAGAGGCATGGTATGGAAATCTCCCAAGACCAACTTCCTGGAGAAGGAGACTGTGCTACCATAGAACAGCAATCTTTCTAGGATGACCATGCTCTGGCTTTATGCCACGCAGCAGCTTTGAATGCTTGGGACAGAATTGGAGAAGCAGGAAAGAAAATTGAGTCCTCGCCAGAACCCCAATCTGAGGCTGTGGTCCTGGTGGCTCTCAGAGGGCATGTTTGGTTCCTAGAGCTGTGGACAGGTGGGGCAGGTGGGTGGGAGGGGGCCAGCCTGACAGGTCCCACTACTGGATCTTCAACCTGCAAGCCTCAGATGGGGGTCCTGGAGCAAAACCCCTGCTTTATTCATCCACCAAGAAACCATGGCAGAATGAAGAACTGTGCTCCTGGGCTCTGGGGGGACCTGGGATCCATAAGCACACAGAAGCAGCAGCAGCAGCAGCAGGTGGCATAGTTAACTCTGGGTTTGAGAGATCATGGGAGCTGAGATGTCCTTGGTGCAGTTCAGCCATGTCAGCCAGAAGCCCTGGCCTCTGGAGTTGCTGGATACAGCCAGCCTGGTCCACAGAATTCTGGGATTGAACTGGAGAGGAAACAGCTTCTTGGTTCTGGGAGGGAAAAGACAAGCTTTGCTACCAATTCTCATGTTGGAGCTCAGTGCCTTTTCAATGCAGCCATGACCCACAGTGAGGCCAGCAGCAGGACCTGATGGAGCCTCACAGTTACTGGGATCTTGCTGTTCATGGCTCTTGGGGACTCATCACCAAGGTCTCCTGGTCCTGTGTAACAGGGCTGTTGTAGGTAAAACCTACCCTCCACCCTGCCAGGTGTTGACCCCAGACTGACACTCAGCCTGCAGATCAACCAGAGCTCTATTCTGAGCTCCCTGGTTTGCTTGGGCAGCACCACCTGCATCCAGTGCCTAAACCTCCATCTCACATACAGGACAGAGGAGCTGCCAAGGCAGTCAGTTGCACAAGCTCCACCCCCACCACATCCCTCCCTGCTACTGTGTTCAACCAGTCCCATATTTTGCCAAGCCAGCACCTCACGGCCAGAGAGGATCAGGACCACCTTGAACTGTCTGGTACAGGAAGGAGTTCAACACAGCCATGAGTACCATCCAGAGGAGCTGAGGGTCTCCATTCCCTGGTTTGCATAACACCCAAACTAGAGGTCACTTCTCCCAACACCTTGGATTTGGTTTGCTGTGGACCTGGGGGACCTGGGCTGCTCCTCCAGTAAGAACCTTTGGGTTCACCCTCACTGACTTTCCAGCCCTGGGTCCCTGCAATTTCAGCCATGAAAGGGAGACGTCCCTGAACTC